AATAATCGTTAGTTGCAGCCCTATTTTAAAGATATAAATGAAACCTTCCAGGGGTCACCAAAGGTCAACCCCTAACCAACCGTCTTCCAGTCAAACTAAGTTGGTGTTATTGAATTTGGCTGTTTAGACTGGTTTTCATTTACGGTTATTAAACAATGTCAAATGTCAAAATCAAACCAACTCCCCTCATTAAATAAATACATAAATAAATAAACTGTGTCAGAATTTTTTTGCAGCATAAAATGTGGCTTTTGTTTCAAAACAACTCCAAAAAAAAAAGAAAATTAAAAACAATTAGTTTGTTTCCAAGTTTGAAGACGTTTCTCTTCCATCCAGGAAGCTTTTTCAATTTAAAATGTTTTTAAAATATGCAAATAGAAACGGATGAACGGGCCCCCCCTTTGGAATGGGGGTCGTTTTTTTTTAGCTTCTGTATAAAACCTTAAACTCAACGCCATTCCAGCGGTGAGGGTCCCTCAGCATGTTTACCTTCTTCAGGCTCCGTTCCTTCTTGTGCCGTTTGTGTCGGGTGGATTTGAAGGTCTCCATGCGGCTCCTCATGTTCCTCTGGAACACCTCCCGGTCCTGACGCTCCTTCTCTCCCAGCGGCATGAAGTGTCGGCTGTAGTGGGACTGGTACTGAACACAATCGACAAAGTTCACAGAACCATGTTTAATCATCTCCTTTAAGTCTCCTGGATCCAGACCATCTCTCCTCATATTTTACATTTCCAAAACCAAACTGCAGATTTTCCAGCAGTTTCTTTAAAAGAAAAAATCCCAGCGGAAGTTTGCAGAATTACCCGTTTTCTGGGCTTGTAAAGGTTCCCCGCCAGGACGTGATGCGTCTCCATGTCCTCCTCCACCTTGGATCCAGGGACGTTGTCGATCACCTGGAGGTCCAGACAGACGCCGCTGCCGTTCTCCCGCCTGTGACACCCCACAGTCGGCAGGATGAGGCTTAAAACGCAGCTAAATGCTGAAGTTTATTTTTGATCTCTTTCTCCTGAGCTTTTGGACTTTTCAAAGGATCTGTTATTTAGCTTTACTATTAAGCAATAAAGGTCCCGATCTTCAGAGGGTTTATCCTAAAATACATTAAAAACCTGTTTGTGTGCAGAGAGCAGATCTGCAGGAGCTGAATGTTCAGAGATTCTGCTCTGATGTAAACATATTTGGACCGTCGGAGATAAAAATAGAAGACAAATAAAGAAAGAAATGTCTCTGCAGGTGGGCGCAGAATGCAGGACGGCGTTTATAAAATGAACAGAGTGACAAAAGAGCCTGCAGAGATGTGGGGGTGGGGCTGTGAAGGTCTGCATGTTCTGCTCTTCGTAAAATATTTGATCTGCTCATTTTAGCTGCTTTGCTCATCCTAACATTCGTGCTTTAACCTTGGTAGATCACCTGCAGCGTGCCCGCTTACTGCATTCACCAAAATAAAACATGCATGTGCAGATTGGTGCACCTTATTTGAAATCTTGATAAATCAGTCCCAAAGTTTTTTTATTTTGGTCCAAATCGCTCTGATAAGTTCATTTAAGCAGAGATGATGTGTTCTAATGAAAATATTCTCCTCCATCGTCAGAAAGAGATCATGTGACTCACAGGTAGTTGGTGACGTTGGTGACTTCAGGGAACGAGGCTCTGCTGGCCATGGAAGGCAGAGACAGCCTGGCTGAAGTCAGGACGTTCCCACCCTGCACACACAGAGGTCAAAGGTCAGCGTAGAGGTCTGCTGTTCAGATCAAACTCACGGTTTCAATCCAGCGGCTGCTTCCTTTGAAGGACCCAGACCGGCTGGGAGGCCGGGAGAGTTCAGCTATAGAAGCTTATAATTTATAGTTTCATTCTGAAATATATAATTTTAAACTGTAAAAAAATGAAAGCAGCACAAACGAAAATTTTTGCTGCACAAATGTTTGACACAAATTTTGTCTAATTTGAAGAAGGTGGGGGGGCTGCTTGACCTTTTGACCTTTATATTTTCATTAATATCTTCGAAGCCAAAGCAGCACAAAAGACAATTTTTGCTGCACAAATATATTAAAGATATTAATGAAAATGTAAAGGTCAAAAGGTCAAGCAGCCCCCCCCACCTTCTTCAAATTATACAAAATTTGT